ATATTCAACTGATAGGTAGTTTTCTATTGATATATACATATGGTTCATATATGATTGAATTTTTAAGGAAAAAGGGGAAGTCAGAGAATAAATATGATTTTGAATCAAGAATATTTTTATCCTTGGATTTGTGTAGAAAATTTATATACCATTTTGTTTTGATTTTTTTTTAAGAATGCCCTACCTTGTAATTTTTATTTTTATCAATTATCAGCCTATCTTAATGCTTGATTATTAGCAAATATGAATAAAGTTCGATTTTGGATAAAATAATTTCAATACTAAATGAAGGAACTATAGCTATGTTTAGCTTAACCTGCTTTCCTTATAATGATATAAATAGGATATACTTTTCTAATGAAACTATCAAAAGTACAGGATTTATACATATGGGCCTTCTATTATTAAATTTGATTATTGTGCTTTTCAAATAATTGTTAATAAAATTGTAGTTTATTTTAAAGGGCTTGTATGCAAGAAAATAACCAGAACAAATAAAGAATATAATTCTAAATTTTTGATCAGACCTTGGCTAATGATGATAATTTTGTATTCATTATTAAAATTTAACAAAATTTAATTCTATTTATCAATCAATCTAATTATAAAGTTATCGAGTACATTAAAAATAAATAATCTAAAATGAAATATATTTTGGGTCGCTTTTAAATATAAATCTAATGCAATTTTTATGTTAGGCTATTATATTATAAACTTCTAATTAATGAATTTCTTAAAAATGTTAAAATTAAAAGTATTCAATATGAATCTATTGTCTATTCTTTCGAAAATTTAACTAAGTTAAGAAATTATTTTGCTTAGTAGAATATTTATGAGACTGGAGAAATTGAATGAACCTAAAAGCTAGAATTAAATTGATACTTTATATCTTTTCTCATAATGAGTAAAGATAAGGTATTTACTCTTTTTTATTAATTATGATCTTGTTTTCTTAAATATTTTTAACAGAAAAAAATATCTAATGGAAAATAATTATTTATTTGAAAGAATTTTGATTTGTATATCAGTTTATTTTTATGCATATTCTAAGCTATTACCTGAATTTCATAGCGCCATGATTTTGTCTCTCATTAAATGATTTTCTACAACATACAATCCATGAAAAGCCATAGCTCAAGTAAGCATCATTGATACGCGCATAAATTTTTTAATAAAAATTCTGAAAAGAAAGAAAGAATAGCTTTAGAAAATGAATTGGTCTTTCACATTTTTACCACAGGAGATCCATAAAAATAGAAATTTATAAACGGTTCTGTTCATTTAAAGTTATTCATCTTAAATTTTAGTTCCAACTTTTGATTATAAACACTCTATTCTTTATTTCTTAATTCTATCAGCATATGCCCATTCCAATTCCAGAAATTTACAAAGATGATATTTTATGTCGATATAGGTCTCATCTTCTATTTTAGCAAAATCCTTAGCTTTCTAAATTAAAAAGTAAATGGTCTAAGCAATTTTCATAAATTTATACTTCATTTTATTAGATCTAAATCATAGATATAAGCATTGATGTTTCTTTAAATAAGGATAATTTTCGTATATAAAAGAAAATAAGGAATACTTGAAAAAAGAATGGTCATTAGAACTTTTTTGAAAATTACAAAATCTATTTTGAAAAATTTATTTGACAACTTATGAAAGAGAATATTTAATATGAGTTGCTTGCTTTATTTTACCTCGTTTAGGAACCACTGTAGAAAAATATTGCTGATCGGAATAGAAGTATATAATAACTATATCATAAGAACAATAGTCTGATTTCAGGGTCACAATCAAGTAAAATGCCAAGAAGAAATTTTGGTGTTAAGAAATCAGATAAGAGTGAAAAGTATAAGCCAAAAAATAACTTAGAAAAATTAGTATAAAAGCTGTTAATCCCTTATACAAGATAGTAAAGAAAAATCTTTAATTGGAAAACTAAAAACTATTTAATCATTTCAATAAAGTTTAGAAAACCAAATTATATGGATGATTTAATGAATATCGACCATCGCGATGAAATATTGAAATTCATATGAAAGGGAAAAANNNNTAAATAATCTAAAATGAAATATATTTTGGGTCGCTTTTAAATATAAATCTAATGCAATTTTTATGTTAGGCTATTATATTATAAACTTCTAATTAATGAATTTCTTAAAAATACTTAAAATTAAAAGTATTCAATATGAATCTCTTGTCTATTCTTTCGAAAATTTAACTAAGTTAAGAAATTATTTTGCTTTGTAGAATATTTATGAGACGGGAGAAATTGAATGAACCTGAAAGCTAGAATTAAATTTATACTTTATATCTTTTCTCATAATGAGTAAATATAAGGTATTTACTCTTTTTTATTAATTATGATCTTATTTTCCAACTTGTTAAATATTTTTAACAGAAAAAAATATCTAATGGAAAATAATTATGTATTTGAAAGAATTTTGATTTATATATCAGATTATTTTTATGCATATTCTAAGCTATTACCTGAATTTCATAGCGCCATGATTTTGTCTCACTTTAAATGATTTTCTACAATATACAATCCATGAAAAGCCATGCTTGGATTATTTTCTTTTGTTAATTACAAAGATATTAGCATATCGTATCCTTATCAAGGGATCCTCCAAACATTTTGCCAAGAATCTGAATGGTTGTTCGTTAAATTATATTATATATTTCAGATCTGATGGAATCATTTCTAACAAATTATATTATGTGTCTGAGCGACTAGCTCCCCAAGTAAGCATCATTGATGACGCGCATAAATTTTGTAATAAAAATTCTGAAAAGAAAGAAAGAATAGCTTTAGAAAAAGAATTGGTCTTTCACATTTTTAACACAGAAGATCCAGGAAAAATAGAAATTTATAAACGGTTCTGTTCATTTAAAGTTATTCATCTTAAATTTTAGTTCCAACTTTTGACTGTAAACACTCTCTTCTTTATTTCTTAATTCTATCAGCATATGCCCATCCCAATTCCAGAAATTTACAAAGATGATATTTTATATCGATATAGGTCTCATCTTTTATTTTAGCAAAATCCTTAGCTTTCTAAATTAACAAGTAAATACTATAAGCAATTTTCATAAATTTATACTTCATTTTACAGATGATCCAAAAAAGTAGAAAAAATTTAGTAGTTTAGAAACTAAAAAAAAGTTATCACTCAAGAAAAGAAATTGGATTTTTTATTCAACAACCATATTAGATCTAAATCATAGATATAAGCATTGATGTTTCTTTAAATAAGGATAATTTTCGTATATAAAAGAAAATAAGGAATACTTGAAAAAAGAATGGTCATTAGAACTTTTTTGAAAATTACAAAATCTATTTTGAAAAATTTATTTGACAACTTATGAAAGAGAATATTTAATATGAGTTGCTTGCTTTATTTTACCTCGTTTAGGAACCACTGTAGAAAAATATTGCTGATCGGAATAGAAGTATATAATAACTATATCATAAGAACAATAGTCTGATTTCAGGGTCACAATCAAGTAAAATGCCAAGAAGAAATTTTGGTGTTAAGAAATCAGATAAGAGTGAAAAGTATAAGCCAAAAAATAACTTAGAAAAATTAGTATAAAAGCTGTTAATCCCTTATACAAGATAGTAAAGAAAAATCTTTAATTGGAAAACTAAAAACTATTTAATCATTTCAATAAAGTTTAGAAAACCAAATTATATGGATGATTTAATGAATATCGACCATCGCGATGAAATATTGAAATTCATATGAAAGGGAAAAATTGAAGAAAACGAAAATCAATCTAGTTGTAATATGAAATCAAAAAAAGGCTCTAAAATAATATAAAATTACAAAGAACCAAAAGGAAAGTAATTGTACTTAGAGAAAATATTTTACAGAAAGAACCAATCAAACCTAAAATAAAGGATATAAGCAAAGGGAAAAATCATGGCTACGTATTATATAGGCCTGTGTTCATTGAAATAAAAGTGGTAATTAATAGAAATGGTCCGATTAAAAAATTCATTTGGAATATGATTGAGAAGAACAAATACAATTTTTACGGATTATGGGGTACATATTGCATTTCGCATATATTTATATAAAATTCATAAGGATAATCTTGAATCGAATCTTTAAATTATTTTCAGATTTTATTGGTTTTAGGAAATTTATGGGATGTATTTTGCAAAATAACGGTTAATTTTGTTAAGCTTACTCAGATTTCTAAATTCATTTGGTAATGATTTCTTCTCGCTTTATCTTTAGTAAACATGAATCCTGTACTCATTATACAAATATCCTCATGCTTTTCTTACTTTAGAAAAATCTAGACGATCTTTATTTTTAAAGACTCCATACCACAAAAAGCAAGGAAGTATATAACCAAATTTAATTAATAATGATAAGAAAAATGTGATAACACATTTAACATGTTTAATTGTATCATACTTATAGACCACATTCCCTTAAATCCAATATTCAACTGAAATCTTTCTATAAGATAATAGTGAAATTTTTCCTCCTATTAAATTTGGCTATAAAAATATGAATAAATCAATAAAGATGTATATATATAAGACAATTAAGTCGTGTTTGCTTAGTAATTATTGAATTGCAACTATAGAAAAATAACTATTATATATTAAGAAGTCATAATTAAGCCAAATTATTCGAAAGTATTTTATCAATATATTAGATATTAAATAAGAAGTAATCTAAAGTATTAGCAAGTGATTAAATAGGATTATCAACAGTATTGAAAACTGAGACTAATCCTGCTGGTACTTGTAATTAAAAGGTAGAAATAATTGAAATGATTTGAAGAGATTAATACTTTGATAAGAATAGCAGTTAGGACTTCTTATATAGTTACTCTAAATCCAAAAGTCTTCAAGCTTATACCTTTAACAAAATCCTCAATCATTTCTCTAGTGCTACTTACCGACATTAAAGTTGTAATCAAGTCCTAAGACTTATAAATATCATTGTAATAATATTATAAGCTATTAAATCACAACTTTCTATATGAATGAGCTGAAGTTACAGAATAAGATCCACTTCCTCTTGAATTATATAAATCACACTCCTCACATAAAGCTCCAATATTTCCTATCATGCTGAATTCGTCTCCAGGTTTCCAACCACTTTTGCAATTCTCCTCCCAATTCTAACTCAATAGTTAAACTATAATAGTATGCTCTATTAATCCTATTATATTTGATTCCTAAGATTTTATGTTTAGAATCATCTTTATTACTACAAGTTTGAGCTGCCTAAGACATTTAATATGATGTTAAAGGTATCATAAAAAACACATCCACCTAAAGTTTGATTAAAGAATTCACCTAATTTAAAAGAAAATGTTCTTAAGTCCACATGTAATTAATAATTTAAGACATAATTATAAGTTAAAAAAGGATGACTCTCTTCTGATTAAGTGATGAAACATTATTGCATTAAATTAACAATAGAAGAACTATATCTTGATTATAAGTAGAGTTTGAAGAAAACAATTAGATTATCTAAATTATAATCACCAGTAGTTTCATTAAATATAACATCATCTTAAGATCGACTAAATTAAGCATCATTTTAATTTTTTTTAAGAAATTAAATAATAAGCTTTTGGATATAAATTACAATAGGAATCTTACAACCCCATAATTTATTCCTAAAACTTATCAAAAGCAATATTCCTAAATATAAATTATAAGGAATAAATTTTGATTTGATAGAATCAATAAACCTAGTAATTATCTATTTTTATACCAGAAGGTAATATTAATTAATAATTTTTCTAAGTGGAACCTAATATCTTATATGGATTAATAATAATTTGTTCAATAATCTCTTTATATATACATAATTGTTATTAAATTGTAAATAATATGCATTTAAATAAAAGAAAAAATGAATTAAATTTAAAATGATTTTCAGTTTTCTTATATCAATATTTCTTTTCTAGCTATGTTTGACCTTCATTAATAGATAATGTTAATGATCTTGGTTTTTCCCTTTAATTATGGTATATTTGAAGTAAATGTGACTTACAGAAATTTAAATAATCAAAAAGTTAAGATGTCTCTAAACTTTTTTATATCCATAACCAAAATAGCTGACAAAAAAATACCTTCATGCTTTCAAAATATTCGTCAATTGATTATTATTATTATTCATAATAAGTAGAAGTTCCTCTAGGTTTTAATGTAAATAATTTGATTATAACATTGTTCATATTTGTTACAAACTACTAAATTTATGGAAATAAATAAGAATAATAATAATTTTCTTATTTTTTGCTAGCTTGTGATTTTTCATAACATATTCTAGTCTAAAAATTATTTTAATTCTTTGAAATAAAGTAGGGATTAACTTCTTTTACTTCTGATTCACCCCTATACATACATACATACAGACTTAAAATTAGAAGGACATTGCTAAAAACTTCCATTTTCATTTTAACTTTTAATAAACCCAGAAATAGTTTCTAAACATTAGATAAATGTTGCTTTTCCGTCAATGATTTCATATTTATTACAAATTTAATCACATTATGACATGCATTTTTAATCATATAAAATTAATCCATAGCGACATGATGTGCAAAATAAATTCAAATCTGATTCAGAATTCCTTGAAGCATAGTTTTCAAATGGATGGTCATTATTATTATTAATAAAAAATTAATAAAATGCTTTAATACTCCTTTTCCAATAATCTATATTTTTTATTTTATTAAATGCAAGTCTTGCAAGTTTGACCACACTAAATAATTTAACCAGAAAGGACTTTTGAAAAATATCCATCCTAACATTCAATATAGAAGAAATCATTTTTTGTGTAATGGGGAATACATAAAATACAATTTGGTATTAAGCAATTAGACACTTAAACAGAATCATAATTTGTTTTATTAATTGGACAGATTTTCTTGTAATCTTCATTTTAGATGATGGCAAATTAACAATCATTATTCTATTATTTCAACTCGCCTTTATAAATGAATGATAATTCTCTTTGCAAAAATCACAATCTACATTAATACTTATCTAAATTGTAATTTACAACTTTACATTGATATCAAAACTTGTTTGCAATAGAATAATATAATCAAAATAATATATATTGCATAGCCTACTATTCTTTCCATCCATAGATAAATATTATTATGAAGGTGAACCTTGGCAATAATTACAGTATCTTGATTGACCGGACTCTTTAATCCCCACAAGATATACATTTCTAACTGATTGTAATTGAATTTCCAATACAAAAAGTTCAAGTATAGGTCCCATCTTTATATGTGTAACAACTTAAACAATTTTTGTATAGCAAGCATAATTTGTCCTTACTTAAATA